CTGAGACTACAGGTGCTTGCCCCCACACCCAGCTGATTTTATTTTATTTTATTTTTTTAGAGACGGACTCTTGCTCTGTTGCCCAGGCTGGAGTGCAGTGGTGTGATCTCAGCTCACTGCAACCTCCGCCTCCCGGGTTCTAGCAATTCTCCTGCCTCAGGCTCCCGAGTAGGTGGGATTACAGGTGCACACCGCCACGCCTGGCCAATTTTTTGTATTTTAGTAGAGACAGGGTTTCACTGTGTTGCCCAGGCTGGTCTCAAACTCGTGAGCTCAGGCAATCCACCAGCCTCAGCCTCCCAAAGCGCTAGGATTACAGCACTTAGAGCGTTTACAGCACTTTCAGCCACTGCGCCTGGCCTGATTTTAGTATTTTTAGTAGGGATGGGGTTTCGCCATGTTGCCTAGGCTGGTCTTGAACTCTTGACTCAAGCAATCCACGCACCTTGGCTTCCCAAAGTGTTGGGATTATAGGCATAAACCTGGCCAAAATCCCTGATTTTTATCCCATGGACCCATGGAATGTTACCCGCCCTGTAATTTTTTTTTTTTTTTTTTGGGAGATGGCGTCTTCCTGTGTTCCCCAGGCTAGAGTGCAGTGTTGAGATCACAGCTCGCAGCAGCTTCTACCTCTTAGGCTCAAGTGATCCTCCCACCTCAGCCTCCCTGAGTAGCTGGGACCATAGGTGCATGCCACTAAGCCCAATTACTTTTTTTTTTTTTTTTTCCCTGTAAAGACAAAGTCTTGCTATGTTGCCTAGGCTGGTCTCAAACTCCTGGGCTCAATCCTCCCACCTCAGCTTCCCAAAGTGCTGGGATTACAGGCGTAAACCACTGCACCTGGCCCCTGCCTTATATTTTAAGGGGTCTACTTTCACTCCTGATTTTCAGCTCATTTGCTGAATGAGTGAGTGATTTGGTTCATCTCTGCTGAGACTTTGCCCTTCCATGCAGGGAAGCAGCCTGGCCCCAGGTAGGGGGGGAATGTCCTTTACAAACTGCCCAGGGACTTCAAAGTTGGGACCCACTCTTGAATTTTTTTTGGGTTTTCTTTGAGATGAAGTTTTGCCCAGGCTGGAGTGCAATGGCCTGATCTCGACTCAGTGCAACCTCCACCTCCTGGGTTCGAACGATTCTCCTGTCTCAGCCTCCTGAGTAGCTGGGATTATAGGGGCCCACCACTATACCAGGCTAATTTTTTGTATGTTTAGTAGAGATTTCTTTGTATGTTTAGTAGAGGTTTCTCCATGTTAGCCAGGCTGGTCCAGAACTCCTGACCTCAGGTGATCCACCCGCCTCGGCCTCCCAAAGTGCTGGGAATATAGGCGTTAGCCACTGCACCCAGCCTTTCTTGGATGTTAAAACCAAGGTTTGTCCTAAAGATTGCACAGCTTTCCGGAGCCAGGGCTGGGGATTGTTGGGGCAGCAAAGCACCTCTAAATTCTTTTCTACTTTGCAAGTGTTGACAGCACTCTTTCATATCCTTTTCTCTAAATCAGAAACAGAGCAGAAACTAGAGCCATCTCATCCTGCCTCTTCCTATCATAGAAGGGAGATGGAGGGAGGCCTAGAGAGAGAAGGAGAAGCTTATGCCCCTAGTCCCACAGCAAGTCAGAGGCAGGCAAGACCCCTTTTCCCTGAAGCCCCTGCAGCCTCTCTGCCCCTCTGGTGCTGGAATAGGATGCAGCATCTGTGTGACGTTTGCTCTGTGCCAAACACTGGGCTAGGAACAAGCCCTGTGCTTTTCAAAGTGTGGTCCCCTGACTAGCAGCACCAAAATCACCTGGGAACTTGTTAGAAATGCAAATTCTCAGGTCCACCCCAGACCTCCTGAATCAGAAACATGAAGGGGGCCGGGCGCGGTGGCTCATGCCTGTAGTGCCAGCACTTTGGGAGGCCAGAGGTGGGCGGATCACGAGGTCAGGAAATCGAGACCATCATGGCTAACATGGTGAAACCCTGTCTCTATTAAAAATACAAAAAATTAGCCTTGTGTGGTGGCGGGCGCCTGTAGTCCCATCTACTCGGAATGCTGAGGCAGGAGAATGACCTGAACCCGGGAGGCGGAGCTTGCAGTGAGCTGAGATCCAGCCACTGCACTCCAGCCTGGGCGACAGAGCAAGACTCCGTCTCAGAAAAAAAAAAAAAAGAAAGAAAGAAACATGAAGGGAGTGGAGACAGCATTTGTTTTCACAATCTTTCCCCAAGGTTCAAATGTGGCATGCTCAAGTTTGAGAACCACTGCTCTAAGCCATAGTAGGCTCACTCCCGGTGTAACTGAGTGGCTAAAATTGTAGAACCCGGAGCCAGAGGGAATTAGGTGCAACCTGCCTCCATCACTAACTCTGTGACTCAGGTAAGCTATTATCTTTGAGCTTTAGTTTTGTCAGCGATAAAATGGCCACAATAATAGTGCCCATAAGGTTGTTGTGAGGACTACATGAGACAGCACAAAGCCTAGGGCGTAGTAAGCACTGTCGGGGTAGCCATTATTAGCTAGCTGAGTGATTATTTATTTATTTTATTTTTTATTTTTTTGAGACAGTCTTGCTCTGTTGTCCAGGCTGGAGTGCAGTTGCACGATCTCGGCTCACTGCAACCTCTGCCTCCCGGGTTCAAGCAATTTTCCTGCCTCAGCCTCCCAAAGTGCTGGGATTACAGGCATGAGCCGCCATGCCTAGCAGATTTTTTTTCTTAAGTCTAAAGCTTTTATTCTTGTTTTATTTATTTATTTATTTAGAGACGGAATCTCACTCTGTTGCCTAGGCTGGAGTGCAGTGGCATGATCTCGGCTCACTGCAACCTCTGCCTCCCAGGTTCAAGCTATTCTTCTGCCTCAGCCTCCCAAGTAGCTGGGTTTACAGACATGTGCCATCACATCCGACTCATTTTTATATTTTTGCTAGAGATGGGGTTTCACCATGTTGGACAGGCTGGTCTTAAACTCCTAGCTTCAAGTGATCTGCCTGCCTCGGCCTCCCAGAGTGCTGGGATTGCAGGCATGAGCCACCGCACCTGGCCTGAATTTTGAGGTTTTTATCTGCTTGGGTCATGGGTGCAGGGTCCAATTACTCCAAGGGGGCTGATCTATCTGCCATGCCTTGTGGGTCTGGAGGGCCACAGGGGTCCTGCCTTGTACAGTCACTTTCTTTTCCTCCATGAGATCCACAATCTTGGGAGTCCTGAGGATGTTCCTCCAAATGGGCAGACTATGCCCAGCCACCAGAGCTGGAGAGCAGGATTCTCTCTCCTTCCACTTCTAAAGGGACAGCACTGAAATAAACATGGCCTCTGAAGTCACGTGAGACTGGACTTGAAACCTAGCCTTGGACAAGTTCTTATTCCAATTGTTTCCCAAACTGAAGTTATAGATACCACCAACTACCTTGCAGAGTTGTTGGTAAGAGTGAATGGCAGCCTAGCATTAGCAGGGCCTAGATGAGAGTTCGTTCCCTTCCTAACTTGAATATCACCTTTTCCTTAAAGCCTTCCCAGTACAATGTTTGCTCCCTCCTCACACCTTTATACAGCATCCTGTGGAGACCGATCACATTGTCTAGTGCTGCTGCTTTTCCCTGCTGGTTTGTAAATTCAAGTTCAGAGACTCTTTCTGAACTCTGACACACACCAAGGGCTGGGTGTGCTGATACTGACACAGTCCCAGTCCATTGCTTACTGGCTATATAATCTTTGGTAATTTGACCCATCTCTGCCTCAGTTCCCTCATCTGAAAAGTTGAGAATTGTGTTTTCCACTTTATAGGATTGTGGGGAGGTTGAAATGGGCCAATACAGGTGGTGCACTTAAAAATGGGGCTGACATATAGCAGAAGTACTTGGTATGACATCATCCCATGATGTAGTAAGTCCCCTTCTCTACATCATTTCTTCACCAAATGCTGCCTCACCTGGGGAAGCGAACAAGGAACGCCTAAAAGTCAATCCACTGATCTCAGCATCCTATTTATTGTCCTTTTAGAGGACCTGGCCAAGCACGGTGGCTCACACCTGTAATCCCAGCACTTTGGGAGGCTGAGGCAGGAGGATTGCTTCAACTTAGGAGTTTGAGATCAGCCTGGGTAACATGCCAAAACCCTGTGTCTACAAAGATTAAAAACTAGCCAAGTGTGGTGGCACATGCTTATAATCCCAGATACTGGGGACGCTGAGGTGGGAGGACGGCTTGAGCCCAGGAGATCGAGGCTGCAGTGAGCTGTGACAGCTCCACTGCACTCCAGTCCGGGCCTTGTGTGAAAAAAAAAAAAAAGAAAGAAAAGAAAAAATAATAAAGAAATCTTGAGTAAAACTTGGTAGTCTCCCTTCTAATTCTCTATCACTGCTGTCATCTAAATTTTCAGGAACCTCCCAGGCCACTTCTAACCGCTAGATGGCCAAGCTACAGGGTGATTATTTCCTTAGGCAAGCAAACATCCCAGCCCTCTAATACGGTATTTCCTGGGGCTGGAATATCAACAGGAAGTTATGTGAGGAAGAGCTCTGCCAAAACACTCATTCCAAGGAAGGGACTGGTAAAGTGACAAATTTGCCCAATCCTGTACAACATCCTGCATCCTCCACATCTGGCCCCTGTTGCACATCTCATCCATAGGCAGGTCGCTCGCTGCTGACCCTATTCTTCTCTGGGCTCCTAGGACCTATAAATATGACTCTATATAAGAAAACCAGAGTCTGGGCACAGTTTGCTCACGCCTGTAATCCCAGCACTTTGGGAGGCCGAGGCGGGCGAATCACGAGGTCAGGAGTTCCAGACCAGCCTGGCCAACATGGTGAAACCCTGACTGTACTAAAAATACAAAAATTAGCCGGGCGCGATGGCGGGTGCCTATAATCCTAGCTACTCGGGAGGCTGAGGCAGGAAAATTGCTTGAACCCGGAAGGCGAAAGTTGCAGTGAGCCGAGATCGCTCAACTGCACTCCAGCCTGGGTGACAGAGCAAGACTCCATCTCTAGAGAAAATAAAGGAAAACCAGACAGATTAAAAAGTTGCACTTACAAAGCAGTTGGGGCATTTATTGGCATTTAAACAAGGGAGGAGATCCTGAACACTAGTCTCGCTCAGTTTATAAAAACTTAAGGCCAAACTCTCCATCATCTGTACACAGCTTAACCACGGCCAGGAGCAAGAATTGGAGTTAAACGAATTGAACCAGTCCAACTACAAGACTAGATAAAGGGAAACAGGGCGTAGGGATTTGCGGTTTTTCCTTTTAGATTACAAAGTTTCCAACACAAGAAGCCAACAATACCCCAGTGCAGCACCAACTTACTTCCCACTGCTTTCCAAGGCAGAGTCAATTAATAATCAGTAGTCCAAGTTCTAAGAACTTTTCCTGGAAAACAAGGACGCACCTCCCGTGGCTCTATGCAAGGCCTGCCACTGATGAATCAAGTTCTTAAGAACCTACGACCATCTGACACCCTTGGGGAAAGCACCCTCATAGAATCTCCAGAATCAGGCCTCAGTTTTCCCATCTGTAAAAGACAGCCATGGAAAGTGGAAGATCCGCTAGGCTTCCAGATCGAAGTCATCGCGCTCCTCATTGTACTCCAGCACGTGCCGCTTGATCTTGGACGAGTCCACCCAAGTGACAAAGTCCTCCATGCTGCGCGTGACAAGGAAGGCGGGGTCGGTAACCACATCAGGGCCCACGCGTACGTGCCCTTGCTCCACAAAGGCTACGGCAGCCTGAAGGTGCTGCGCCATGCGCAGCTTGAGGAGCACGGTGGGAAGGCGGCGGCGGCAAAAGGACGAGGCCGTGACGAAGTCGCAGAGTTCTAGCGAACCGCGCGTGGGCACCAGGCCGAGAGCATACAGCTTGTCCAGCAGCGCGGCCGAAGCGCGCACGCGGAACTGGTCGCGTTCGGGCAGGTCGCGCAGGCGCCGCGCCAGTTCACGGACCGCACGGCTCAGCTGGTTGTAGCGCGTGTAGTCCT